GTAGCAAAATGCTGGAGATTTCATTTTTCCGGCTGCAAATGCCCATAAATCTTTCCAGGGTTTACTTTACGTCCAATCCCAAATAACTTCTTCCTATAGACTTTTAAATAGTAATTACTCTTGCCTAACTCGTGTTTCCCTCTTTCTTTCCAAATTCCTTTCATGTTTCATCTATTCTAATTATTTTCTCAAACACTTAAAACTGACTAGTCATTAGCCACTTCTAAAATGTACAGCATGAATATCATCACATTATCACTGCTCAAATCACTCCATCTTACAGTTATGCGCAGACCTTCAGTTACCAAATGTATGGAGCAAACCCAGATGTAGAAGTGGAGAGTAAATACACACACACGAGGACAAACACTCTCACGGGGGAAAGACCAGGCTTCTAACGCTAGACTTGCAGTGCTGAATCCTAACTTTCTCACTACTGGCTCTGTAACCTTCGATAGGTACTCAGCCTCGTTTTGCCTCAGTTTTCTCATCTGTGAAACGGGGATGCAAATAGTATCCATGCTATAGGGTGGTTCTGAGATTTAGGTTAGTTAATTAATGCAAAGCACTTAGAATGGTGTCTGGCATACAACATTAGTCACCGAGATAACGTGCACACACAGTCTGGCTCCTGTCATTCAAATGTCGATACTAGCAACATTTTATTAATAGCAATCACTTTTAATCTTTATGCCTGTCCTTTAACAGTAAAATGATCATGAAACTGCATATTGATGATCCTCATTCCCTTGGGACAAAATGGACTCAATATATTTTATTATTAAGTTACTGAATTCTTGTTTCTGAACATCAGTAATAATTTGTTAATTTTCAATTACTGTCTGCAAAATTGATTATTCACAACACTTCATTCCTGGATAAGCATGAGACCCCAGATCGATTTATTACCATAACTGCCTCATTGCCCAATACGAGACAGCTGTGAGGTTTGAAAAATTCTCCCCTCCTTTCTTTCCTAGGGTCAAGGCATTTTACCTCTCTGTTGTGAATAAAAAAAGCTAAAAGTCAGGAATATTGATTGTAAAACTGCACTGACAACCCACAGGAGTGACTATGTAGGCTTTAGTGAAAATGATGTCTGAATCCGATTAAAAGCCTATGTTAACTGTTCTCATCACTGTGTTATATCCTCTGCTTCCATTTTACAATAAAAACCAAGATGATTTCAGTTGTAAAACAGTTTGTAAAGTGACTGTATTTTCTAAAGCAGTGATTTGCTTCTTCTAAATTTTTATTTAAACCTGTACACATTCCCCTTACCAATAAAGCATTACGCACACAGTGCTTTCTAAGGTATATATAACAGGTACAGAAATTCTAGTATATTTCTTGTCCCTATTAGTTTCAATTTTTCCTAAAAAGACCAGAAAATGGGAAAAATGATGGGAGTCCAATTTTTCAGTTTTAAGTACATATGTAATATTAAAAACACATGGGTAACTTCATCTCTTCACTAAAACTCCTTTCATTTCCAAGATCAAGTGAGCAACTGAGGCTAATCCAGTCATAACATGAATGAGGTATTATGAAACTGGGCAGCCTACCTCTGTAGCTTTTTTTTATAGTCATGAAGCAGAAACACAATCATATGACTATGGGGTTTACTATGGATTAATGCATGGTACGAACAAATTAAGAACTTCATAATCCTGTGACAAGCAAAGAAGAGTCTGAGGGGAAGTGGAAAGGAGGCAGAGAAGTGTTCAGTCAAGCTGAGAAAATGCTAACATTTCACAGTATTAAGTTTAGAACCAGTTGCACTCCCTTTCTTGAAGTAAGTTACACTTAGCTCTAGAAAAATTATTTATGATTTGGCATTCCTACAATACTTTCTATGGCAGGCTTTATGAAAAGACTATTACTTATTAAAATGAAAACAAAATTAAAATGAATAAATTTTGCTTTATTCTCTGCTATATAGGACTTACAGCAGAGATTTCTAGGTCTTATCCCCAAGTTCACGTAACCAGCTAACAGACTACATTTACTATCCTTCCTTGCTGACAGGTGTGACCATGTAACTATGTTCCAGCCAATGAGACGTAAGTAGAATTGAAATGTTGAGTGGGGCTTCCAGGAAGTCTTTTAAAAGGGGAGGAATGCATTCTTTTTGCCTCTTTTTCCTTTCTGCAGCCTGAAAAGCTGATGAAATGCATGAATCTTTAGCAGCTATCTGGCCAAGAGGTAGAAGCCAGTGGCTGAGGGATGATGGAACAGAAAGAAAGGAACTGGGCTCCTATTGACATCCTGAGGTCACTGTATCAACCCTGGACTACACTGGCCTTCTTTTACATAAGAGAAAAATAATCTTATTTAAGTCACTGCAATTTTGATTCTTTTGGGTATATGCAGCAGAACCTAACCCTATTCTAAATCCTAATTCTATCTGACATTAACTATCAGATCATACTTCTATTGGGGAATGAAACTTAACAAAATAGGATGGTAATTTAAAGTTCTAATTAGTAATAATTATGAAGTTTTCTCATACAAACTACGTAATGAAACTTGCAAAAGCTTTCATTGTAGACTGACAACAAATGCTCAATAAATACCAATGTTGAAGAAAGTGATAAAATTTTAAAGGTTTTCTACAATAAATTAGTGTTTCCCAAAATAATATAATTTTGGACAAGTTAGCAACAAGATATTTATAAAAATATGACACTAAATTTGGTGAACAAAGTTAAAGAAATGGAATCCTTATTTTCTAAAAGGTATCACTCTTTGGAAGATAATATGGGGAACACACACAGTAACATACAAATCTACACATAATTATGTAAACACTGCTTTGACACACAACAGCAAGTATTTTTATTGTGTTAAAATGTTTATGAATGCATTTTCTGGCAATAAAATTGCAAAAATAAAGACACCATACTTGGTAAGATACAATAATGGGAAGAAAAGATATTGACATGATTTTATGTGTCAAATTAGCTTTAGTTTCTTATGAAACTTTAGTTTCATGCTATTTAGACTGTCTAAACACTGGCAGGGGAAGAAAAGCATTTTACTGGAGACAGTCCATTTTATGTGGGAATAATGGCTTTTTAACAGAGCTCAATTAAGAGACATCAGGACTCCTGCCTCAAAAGCCATTAGCAAATTTATCTGGCAGATGTTATGCTACATCATGAAACAATCTAAACTGCTTAGTATGCCAATTTGGCTAAGACACTTGCCATATAAGCTGCTTTCAGGAGCCAGCAATAAGTATTATAAATACTTAAAGATAAAAAGTCGAAGGATACTGGCATTCAGAGGAGAGGACACTGTTAACTCATATTGCCAAAAAATTTAAACACACTTGCATTTTGCTTTGGAGTCAAATTTCTTTTCCATTTCCATTTCTATTTAACCTTTAGTTTCTCAAATAGCCCTGGCAGTAGAGGGCCTGACTGATGGTCTTCCCTAACATTGTCAAACTATTAATTCAAAACTGAAGTCAATCTCCACTTCCTTTCCCCCTAAAGCAAGGTACCTTATAATATGTAATAATATAAGCTCACCTGAATGAGTGAATAGGATAGAGGTTTAATTCATTCTTTTTATAGACAGTTAGGGAAATAAATCTAGCCATCTGTCTCAGTATCTTTTTTTTTGCCAGGAATAACAAAATAATAAAAACTCCTATTAGGAAAAGATCTACAAGTCTGGGCTTTAAACAATGTGGAAATCAAGAGGAAAGCTAAAAATAACCATGCATTGTACCTGTCCTATTTTGTTCAAATTCTCACAATTTTAAATAGAGAACAGTAATGTTCACTTAAATGTTAACTGTTGTTGTAACTTCCTTCTTGAAGCAAAATACTTTCACATTTATTCTCATCTTTAACACATCTTGTGTTAAGTTTCTAAAATCACCCCAAATCATAAAACTAAGCTAAGAGGGAGGGCCCAACATTAACTAGTCAATTCCTCTTATTTTATAAAATACTGACTTTAAACATCCCTGAGACTATAATTTTATTCTGATTTTTATCTGCCTTCCTGTCTTCATAAGGACAGAGAGAATCACTTGCCATTACCAAAAGGTTTGCTTTTAGTAAATTCCTGCCAGAGAAAAGCTCTCAAAGTGCAGTCCATAGAAGACTATCTACATCAGGACCACTGAGGCTTGCAAAATGCATATTCCTGGGCCCCGCTCAAGACCTATGACACTGATTATCTCCACTGTGAGGCTCAGGAACCTGCATGCTCATGACAAGCACCATTGCCTTAAAACGAAATTTAAATTCCTCGAGCTGAAAAGTTGTTCCACTTTGTCTCCTTTTCAGAGTAACTGGAAAACACTGAGTCTCTAAACTGTGCATCTTTGAGATTATAAAGCTATCTTTCTGTCTCTCTTCATTAGTAAACTAACTGAAGTTCTTCAACGTTCCTTCTTTCCTCTGTCTCTCTCTCACTTCTTTGACATCTATGTACTATTTCTTCCCAAACCTCTCAATGACTAGCAAAACAGTGAATGCAAACCAACCAGCAGTGACTATTTAAGATGATTAGTTCATGGAATCTCTGGTTTACTCTGTGTTCACGTATGGATCCCTGTTATGTGGTAACTTTTTAAAAAAAAATGACACATCTGGGCATGTTTTATTTTCTGTGGATTAATTCTCTGTACTTCTGTTTCACACACTGTATTCTGGGACTCCTCCCAACTCTTCCCACTGACATTCCATCTCCAAATTAACTAGGTAATGCTAAACATCAATTTTTCTTTCCACAAGCAGCCATCCAAATTTGTGGCAGGTATGAATTCCATGAATATGCTTCCCTTGCCCTACATTCAGAGCACTGTTAGAGACCCAAATCCCAAGGCGAGGCTGAGAGCACCACATTCTCCCGGAAACAATTACTCATTCACAGACACAGGAAGCATGTGAGGGTGTCCCAGTCAGTCACACATTCTCACAAGGTGATGCTCTGGCCCTCCTCTACATTGCTCATGCCAGCTCACAGTCAGCACTTCCTACCTGCCCAGCCAGTGTAAACAGTGCTATCCCGGGGGTCTGCCGACTTTAGGCCCCTCTCCATTTGCTGAAGCAGCTCTCGAATCTTATTGTTCAAGCGTTGTGAGAACTCAGGAGTCAGCTGTAGATATTAAAGGGAAAACAAGTATCAAAAAATATGGACCGCTCAACTTCCTGGACTACAGGCTATCAACATAGGAGGGTACTTCATTTCCACTTAGGCCACTTCTACTGCCTGGGAGAACTGGAAAATTATTTTATTCTTAATAACTACAGATTAATAAAACTTAAAAAGTGCTATGACATTTTCCTACTCAAGGCAGGAAATATTTTGTAACTAAATGTCTTACATCAAATTTATAATTAAATACTAAAGTAGACTGCTGATGAAAAACTGGCATGCAGTAATTTCCAATTAATAGGGAGCATCTGTTATTTAAGCCAATATTTCTTATTATAATAAAAGTCATCTTAATAAATTAAGCACAAGTCAGAAGATGTTTGCTGTTTTCCAGCTATTCAAGCGGCAGCAATGTTAATTCCCTAAGGAAACACTCTGGTTGCTTTTGTTATTTAAAAAATGAAGATAAACATTTATAAAAATCCATTTGTAAAAAACGGATAGACAATTTTTAAAAACTGTAAAAGTAGCATAAGAAAGTCAAAATAAATTCATGGACATCAGGAGGCTCAGGCAGAGTGGCGAGAACATCAGACCTAGCATCACAAAACCCATGCCCAGCACAGTGCCTAGCAGAGGAGGGGCTTCATAAATACTGCCCAATGAATGAGGCTGGCTACATCTTTATCCACCATTAGCTGAGTGATCGTGCTCTACTCATAACTTCTTTATGCTTCAAATACCTTTATAAAGTCAGGATAGTAATACCTGCCCCACCAATGTCAAAAGATACTCTGAGGATCAAATGAGATTGTGTGCCTAAGGTCTCTCACATTCAGGGATGTAACTGTTGATATTTTTATAATTTTAAGCAGTGCAAGGGTCTATAACAAGTAATAATTTGGGTATGGATTAAAAAGCACACGAAAGCTGGGGCTGTGGGGTAGTGATATCCATACGAAGGCCCACAGATGCTTGGCAAACTGTGAGGTCCACAAAACCACTGTTATTCATCCTAAAAGCAACTGAAAAATATTTTGCAAGTTCTGTATACACTGAATCATCAAGTGTCTTAAAAGGTCACTTACTGTATCCCTCCACAATTTTAGAAACCTGCTGTGATTCCCAGACTTGGATTTTACAGAGCAGTAAAATTTCAAAACAATGTTGGGGAATACTACATGGGCACAAACATTTCACTTCACCATGTAAGGATTATAAAAACAAACCTAACTGCTACCTGTTAACATCATAATCTCATTTTTTAAAAAGGGCATATTGGGGCGCCTGGGTGGCTCAGTTGGTTAAGCGACTGCCTTCGGCTCAGGTCATGATCCTGGAGTCCCGGGATCGAGTCCCGCATCGGGCTCCCTGCT